ATGTATGACAAAGGATTTATTTAGATTAATCTGGGTATATCTTTTATCCTCCTTTCAAAAAAAAAAAAGTGACTTAACATTTTACACCTGAAGACAGAGGATAAAGTGCAAAAAGCAACTACCATATCCCTGCAACCGTGCAGTCTAAAAGCCAGCTATAAGAGGCTCCTACTCCATGATCATGGTAAATGACCAGGCCAATCTGTATCTCTGAAAGGGCAGGATCCAATCAATGGGGAATCTGTACTCCTGGTTGAAGAAAGTGGACTCAAACAAACAAAAATATGCACCAGACAAACACTTCCATGTTCTGACAGAAGAGACCTTTGGGAAGGAAGGATTTTCAGTGTTAGTGTCTGGGGATAGATACATCAGGAGATGGGTCCACTTTGCTAATTATGGTTAGAATTATCCTCCAGAACTATGAAGATGTTTGGGACAGACATAAAACAGCCCTTTCTTTTGCTCTGAGCTGAGTCTAAAAATATCCATACCCACTCCTACCAGTCTACTCCACTTAAAATAAAGAAAATTGTCCCTGACTTCTGTAGTAGGGTTACCATATTTTAGTTTTAAAAAAGGAGGACACTCCATGGGGCCCCACCACCGCCCCAACTCCGCCCCTTCCCCGCCCCAACCTCGCCCCTTCCCCAAAGTCCCCGCCCCAACTCTGCCCCCTCCCCTGAACGCTCCGCCCCCTGCTCCTCCCCCTCCCCTGCTTCCCGCGAATCAAATGTTCGTGGGAAGCCTGAAACAGGGAGGCAGCAGGTGGGCTGGGGCTGGGGCTGGGTGCGGCGCGGCGCGGCCTGGCCCAGTCCGGGACCCCCGGGCCGAGCGGCTCCCTTCAGCGGCCGGCTGGCCCAGGCCAAGAGGCTCTGGCCCCGGCGTCTCCCGCCGGCTCGGCTCGGGCCCTGGGGCGCCAGCCCCCGGCCGAGCACCCCGAGCCCCGGCCCAGCCCCTGGCCAAGCACTGCCGGCGCCGTCCCCGGCCCCATCCCGGCCCCAGCCCCCGGCCGAGCACTGCTGGCCCCGGCCCGGCCCCGGCCCCGGCCCCGCACTGCCGGGCTCTCCCCCTCCCTATTTTCCTGGACATGTCTGGC